GATAAAAAAAAAAGAAATATTACGGACTATTTATAACATCCATAACCGAAATTATAAGTTTATGGTTTATATTCAAATTGCATATACTTTAATATTTTTTATTTTGCATATTTATTGTTACAATTTTCAATTATGACCAAACACGATAATGATCCGAGATGATTGTTGAATTTGCATTTAAAACTTCACTTTGAAGAATAATCGCGATATCGGAATATCGACATTTCCATTTGCCACGATGCACTCGGCAGCTAGTCATGTATTTGCAACAGAAGCATTAAATAATTCCCTCCGTATAATGAATCCGCATTTTTTCTCTTTCTCCGTTTTTTCTCGTAGTCTTCCTCTTTCCCCAAGTGCAGAAGCGCTCTTTTCATCAGTCATATCAAATACGCGAACGCACGTATGTACGTAACGCAGCCACGAAATGGCAAAGGAGTCGGAATCTTTATTACAAATCAGAGTGCAACTATATGCAAGCATGCGGAGAGGTACCAGCACACGAGGATCGCGGCAGGAATAAGAACGTTCGTTTTATTTCGACGCTGTTTCAATTTAGCGACCGCTGTGAAAGAGTTTCGGAACTTTTATCACGCAACTTTTCCTCGGCAAAAGTAGGAAATAGAAGGAGAATGAATTGGAAGCGTAGAGCCAAGAGTGAAATATAGACGCTAGAAACGTCACCACACATCAGGTACGAATATTGCATTCTGTATATGTATTAGCATCTAGAATTTAAATATAAGTAACCGCATGCGGGCGATAAATTATTTTAAATATTATTATATATTTTACTTTCACTATTCTAAATATTCTTATACTGCGATCCTTTTAACATTTTTATATCTGAACGTAAAATGGTTTGTAACTACAATTTAAATTATATAATTTTCAACTAAATCTGGTAATTAAATTTTGTACGTATATATTGTCTTTCTTTTAAATTTATTAATAATGTCTTAGTGAAATCTAAGACAAAAAAGCATAATCTGTAATGTTTGTAGATTCGAAAAGATGCACATTTAACAAAATTAGAAAAAATTATGGGAAGATAAGGTAAGCAGTCTTATCACGTTGATTTAAAAAAAAAAAAAACACTTATTTAAGCGCTAACGTGTATTATATTCCGAGCTGATTAACGTTCCTTTAAATTAAGTTTTTATTACGTTAATTGTCAGCCAAGACCACCCAGGTCGTTCTAGCTGAGACTAATATAATTGAGAGAAGGACTTTCCAAGTATATTCGTAATTCCTTCTCGGTGGTGGGATTCCATTATCTGTCGTCGTCTAATTAACCTGTTATTACATAAATGGAATGCTGACTTGTCGTATACGATTTCGTATTTAACTAACATGAGATTTTGTCGACGATTTTATCTTGTCTTTATATTTCTCACTTTCTCTCTTTTTTATCGAAGATGTGTGCGTGAATCAATTCCTATTTGGCTTTGACCTTCACCTTCTCTTCCTATTTTTGTCTTGCCGAGCTCAATACACGATTAAATGGATTTTTTTTTTATGGCGGATATAAATCGAATAGAAGAACGGGATATAGGATTCACGACTGGTATATCAAATATTCTAGATGTTTCTGAGAGATGTGCTTTATCGTTGCAGAAATAGACTCAATTATTTTGTTTTGCCTTGCGTGTCTGTTTATACTTTGACATTGAATATGATTACTTTATACAAGTTGACAATTGTTAGAGACTTTATATATTGGCCGCGCAGTTCAATGTTAAAAAAACTCATTTTTGTAAAAAAATACATTATTAATGCAATTAAATATATAATGTATAGGATATTTTAGGAAGAAGATTTAGAATGTTTTGTGATATAAAAAGAAACAGTAATTTTTTAAAGAACTGCTCTATTTTGCGAAACAAAGATGTGAAACATGCATAGAAATAAAAAAAAAAAGTTTATAATTTCTTTTAAATATCTCATATATGAGTATTATTATTATTTCTAAGAAATATTAGATGTGATATAAACAGTGATTCTTTGATTTACAATTTATTCTTTTAAATATTTGTTTTTTGAAAGCATGCAAATTACTTTTACTATTATTGAAAATAACATAACAGTCATAAAAATAATTATTAATAATTAATCAACAAATCATTGGTAATTACGTAGATATATAATAAAATAAAACGTTTTAAAGTTAATAAATGAAATAGAAACACGCGTTTACGTTTGCATAGATACTGTCGTCTAAGTGACTAAAGACAGCAAACACGCGAACATACGTGTTTATGCAAAATATGTCGCAATATGTAGTATGTTGCATGTGAGTTACAACATTAGAAATAGTATCCCGTCCGTCGTTGCTTTCATCTTTTATAGAGAGAAATGCTAAGTGATTTGTAAAAACGAATGCAGTGAAACTATAATTTCTTCTTACCTGCATTGTGAAGCTTTTGACATAATCGAAAAGTCAATAGGTGCTAACATAAATTACGCGATAACTTTTTCTTCTCCTTAAAAATAATTTTCTTTGGTCGGTTTTTTAGAATAAATATTTATAATGAAAGAAATAAAAAATTTTGAAAAATTTATAAATAATTCTAATCATGTTATACTTTATGAAAAAATATATAAAACTTTTACATTTTCAAAACATGTATAAAACTTTAATATTTTCAAAGCTTGTACTATCTCAATTACACAAAAATGAGTTTTCTTTTTTTAATCCCATGGTGCCTGTTAAGCATTATTAAAAATTTATACAAATAATAATAATTTGAAATTATTCGAAAATAATTAATTAGAGATACATACTTCTTGAGAGATAGGAAATGAGTCATATCCGTGTATAGTCACGATTAATGTTTTATTGAATGCGTAATTAGAATGTTTAGTATTTACATTGATTCCACGTATCCAGATAAATAACGTTGATGAGCGCGTGTCCGCGGCCGCATCGCCACGTGTCGTGCGTGCCGCGCATAAAACTCGATGTATGGTTAAAGACCGTGACGCTCACGTGTTTTCTCTCCATCGCACGAAAGCTACGAAATCAGCGTCATTCGCGAAAAATCGTGAATCATTGGGAAAACGCGAGAATCTTTTCGAAAACTTACAATCTTTCTCTCGCCATCTCTATCTCCATTACTTTACAATCCACAAACTGATGCTTGATATCTAGACGACAAGTATCTTAAGGAGATATCTGGGAAGATTTTCTTTTAAGCATTCCATATAGACATCATTTAGAGAACTTCTCAACTTATTTACGTTACGTTCACTGTTCTAACAAAACGAAGAAAGATTAGAGAGACGAGGCTTTACTAATCATTTCTCGATCAATGGAATCACGTCATACATCTGCGTCGAGCGAAGTCGTTGGAATATCGAATAAATTTCGATGTCGTTAAAATTGAGGAAAGAATTTACTTTATGTGTTTCGAAAGACTCGATCGCTCGTGATGCACCAGCCGTGGTTGGATCATTCTTCAATTTTGAAGATGTACAAAAGTACAATAGGTATACATCGAGCACGCACGCGAAAGAAGAAGGACCGAACGAACAGAGAGAATGAGAGCAAACGCTCGCGATAGCGATCGCCAAGTCTTCTTACATCGAATATTCGAACGTTTGTGTTTATCATTTATTTAAAGATAGATATACATTTCGGGGTCGAACAAATACTGCGATGCTTCGATGTATACCCATTCGAGAGATTGCGAGGCGCAGAGGAGGAACGATGACACTGTGAGAGTCGACGTTGAGGTAAGGCTTTCTACAGCGCGGAAAGAACGTCGCTCATCCACTTCAGGTTCGCGTAATCAAGTTGTCGCAAGAAATCCGCTTGTGTCTTATCATCGTGATTTCGAAGCAGCGCATATATCCTACACGAGGAAAAATTTATTCAAATCTTCTGCTACCGATGAAGATAACCAAATTACGTTAAATGCGGAATCAGCTCTTGTTTGAAATATATATATTTTTTCTTGTCCTATCATATATTAATCTCATTGTCAGTAAGATTCTTTTTATTCAAATTTCTGCTTAGTCATCTATTTAAGTACAAATTTTAAATAGATTTTTTTTTTATATATTTATACTGAGACCCGCGTTTTATGAAAAAGAAAAAAAAAATTGTTGATAGCAGACGATTTATTTGTAGAATATAATTCGTCATTATTATCGCGTATGTGCTGGTCACGACAAACACGATTTCCGCAACAACTTCTACATTATATAATAACGTATAATAATACGGTGAAAACCCGACTGAACGTTTTTGGATGGGATGTTTGCGACCAAATGAAAAATAATCAGCGCGATTAATAAATATGCGGCAAACGATAAGCGATACACAAATCACTTTGGGATTTGAAAATATATAAATGATACGACGATTAATTGAAAGAACGATAAATCGAGCTCCCACCGTATACATTTCTGTGTACGTAACGAATATATAAGTGTATATACGTATATGTAGAATGCACATACGAAGAAATGCATGACTCGCCGACTCACGCACACTGAAAGATATCGACGAGTCGCATATCGAGCGGAAGAGTTCTCATCGGGAAACGTATTTCCTGTGAGAAACCGAGTTTTCTTGTCCAAGCAAACCGAAATTTCCCTTCCGCTTACACAAGTTTTTCACCAAATGCGTACCTTATAACGTACCTTAGTACCATAGCTCGATAATCTTCTCGTCTCATTGCGATTCACCATTGTCCAGAGACAGTTGTAATCTAGCTTAAACAATGATAAAAAAGGGAATATTATTACTTCTGAATTAAAAATATAGATGTATGCGATACATTTATTACGAAATTTTTTAATATTATTTTGTATGGTATATTTCCATATTTCACAATATGTAAAGTTAATTTGTCAAAATTATCAATTTCTTAAAGTGTTGAAAATTCTTTCAAATATAGTTATTTTATACGACTTATTATCATCAAAAAAATCTATATAACAGAAACAATTGCGTTTGTATTTACATGTTGAAATCTTATTTCTCATCTTTATTATGGAAATGTCGCGTGGACAGGAGCTTGGATTGTAACCTCGCACGCAATGAGAGACGGAGATTACACGAGAAAGTGTATATGTATGTACGTGTGTGTATGTGTATTAGAATAAAACATATCCTACAGTAAATCGCTACCTCAATTCCAAAACGGAATACAATCGTCCGGCCAAGCACATTTACGCGGCACTCGCGCGAGAACGGGCCAAGATAGAAGTAGATAAAGGAATGAGGGGGAGTTGAAGAGTGGATGTCTCACCGATGTGTGCACTAAACAAACTGACAGACTCGCTGACAACCTTTGAGCTCACAGGACACTGTCAGAGACGAGACACGAGAGCCGAGCGCGCATATCGCGACTACCACCCGAACTGCGTTTATTTAATATACGCAAGAAAAACACACGTTTTACAAGGTAAACCGAGTAAGGTATCGCCGAGTTTGTGGGTGCACCACATTGCGCACAATCCCCATGAATGGAGTTTCTTCTTGGGATCGCGCCGCGCCGAGCAGCAAAACGATGACCCGGGAACTCGTTTCCTCGACGGAGGGACCCTCGTCGCAGAGGGACAGTAAAGTGCCGCCGCCGGAGGGACGGCGGTAATTCACGTCGGGTAAAGGTTCGTGAAACTCGGTATCCTCCAGCTGACGGCCGCTAGAAGGGACACTAGAAAGTTACTCGCCAAAATTGCCGGGCTGAGGTTCCTTCTGTCACCCCCGTGCATCGCCGCTGGCTTCTCCTCTTCTGCAACGAGATTAGAAAGCTGCGTTTCATACGATGATAGAGGAGGAAAGTGAATAATAAGCAATACGTGTAGGCTGCTTAATTTTAGATTAGCTACTCTTTGCGTATATATACATATATATATTTATAGTTAGATCGGAGAAAGAAGTTATATTGAGAGAAAAGCAAGAAAGTGTTTTCTTCAAATAGAATAATAAAATCTTCCCGTGAGAAAGTAGAAACAATGTTTTAAATTATTTCAGACCGTGCCACGTTTCTAGTTGAGATATAAGATGAAACGTGGATCACTTCGCACTTCTTCCTGTAGAAAATACCATGTTGACAATCTGGTCACGTTCGTGAAGCTCTTTCAGTTGTCACGTCAATGGAGACACGGCAAACATTGGATGAATATCTGTCGGACTTCGCGAATTTTTCAGAATGTCTGTTTCTTTTACCGTCATGCGAAATCCTTTAAAACAAGTTCTATTACTAATACTAAAATCTAATTCTAAACAAATTTAGTAATTTTAATTAATAATTTAATAAGTTTATTTTTGTATAATTCTTTATTCGCGACTTTTAATAAATTGCCATAAATCTCAGCAATGTCAGCAATATTTTGAAATTATAAATTGTTATATTTTTTTATGACAAAATATAATACAAATATTTTTTATGTGAATTAGCTTTTATATGTATTATATGTAATGCAAGTTTTCAAAATTATATATTTAATCCACAATTATTAACCACATAGCAGTAGCTTTGAATTTATAAATAAAAAGAATTCATCAAAAATTTTATCTATTGAATTTTTTCTATTTAGCTTGATATATTCTCTCTCTTTATTTTCCAAGAACAAAATAGATAAAACTTTAGACTTGATACAACATATATAATATATATACACATTAATGTGTTGGGGAAACTTTCTACGACCGGCAATGTCGAAGGCATCGTAGAACGAGTGTAAAAAAAGAATTAAAATAAAATCATTGTGTATCGTCTTGTAAAGAGAAAATAATAGATAAGTTTGATAATGTCTCGCAGACTATCGCGTTATTACATAGCTACTAAGCGCGTTAAAGTATGGGTAAGGCCGACCCGAGAGAACTTACACCGTACTTTCGAAAAATTGCGTCGAACTTCGTCCTAGCAGCGAATACAGAGGGTAAAAGTTCCGTCGTTAGTAAAGCGGTCGTACAATTTTGAACCGCCCTTCGTCGTTATCGCAGGCGAGCTACGCGGGATCGGGGATGAATGCGTCTACGAGAGCCGCTAAATCCGATCGTAATGAGCTTCCTACAACCGTTTAATTGTTCGGCTCTTACTCTAATGAATATTCAAGTTTCGGAAGTTCCTACCGTCGATCGGCACTGATCTTCACCGGCATATAAAGCGAGTCAATTACTATCGCGTTATATTCCAAAATCGCAGATTCTGCCTATGATCGATGCATTCGCGACCGGGTAGTTTGCCCTCAGATTAAATCAATCGTTATTTTAAGTGTATCACAATGATTTGTTGAAATATTAAATCTAAAAAAAATGATTCAGCATGCACGTATATATCGATAGATACCGCTTCTTGAATTGTTGACTTATAGTAGCATCAAATATGAAAAAATGCACAAATTATTTATATCAAGTTTAAAAATATTTTATCGGCAAAATAAAAGCGAATGATTTAATAATCCGGTATAAAACGCTGTTTTATTTAAAGTTTCATTTTTTTATATGTTTTGACGCGACATCACGGAATCCGTCTAGATAAATTTTTGCGATATATTCGTAGCGTATTTGTAATATTTCCTACCTACGTATGTATGTACGTATGTACATATCCTGTAAGCAAGCGCTAATAACAAACATCATTATTCACGCTGTTGCAAGATTTTCTAAACTGCAACTGTTTATCGACTGTTTATTTATAATCAGCAAATAGTCATTATATCTTGCTTTGCGTCGAGAATGCAAAACAATGCGCCTACAGATTTGCATGTGTTTAGAAACATAACTCACTAACATATTAACTTTAGTAAATTTGATAATGTTCCAGTCTCTAGTTCATATCTAAAATACACTATTTATAGACAAGATTCGTATATTAATAGAAGATAAATATTTCATTAAAATATATACTATTATTTTTTTAAGTTAAGATAAATGAATATTTATTCCTCTAAACAAATGTTTAAAAAGGATACATGTGATATTCCTCTTGTATATTCTCTTCTTATTAAAATTAAATTACAATACTTACTCTAGAAACTATTTCGTCTCTTACGTTAGTACAAAATAATATCTCGGATTAATTTTGCGCCAAGAGATTGCTTTCAATAATATCAAGTCACGAATTAAATTCAACCGAAACTAGCGACAGAATGACGCTACATTTCTCTCACCTTCAATCACGTGGACCATGACAGACGCCGCCTTGGCGTTACTAGGCGCACACGTGTAGTTGCCGTTATGCGTAAGCTTCGTTTTGTTCACTGTCAAAATGGAGCCGCTCGACGTGAGCTTGACGTCGACGCCGGGCTCCTCGTCGTAATTTATCATACGGCCTTGACGATACCAGAAGACGTAAAGAGGCTTTTCCGTGGCCGCTATAAGTTGGCATTCCAAACGGAGGCTCGAGCCTTGCTTCACGTGCAAATCAGGCGCACCTGGTATTATCGAGAACGCTTCCGTGATCTTCAAACGGGCGAAGTTTCGCTGTACCGGATGCGACGTCACCTGCGATCATAATATAGCGACACCTTTAACTTATCATGTTATGTTAGGGTGAACGACACAAGTTTAATAAAAAAGAGATAAAATGTTTCAGTAATTTATTTTCCCGACGTAATTTACAAAGCAATATTCATATATCATGTCTTTTCAATATAAATTTATTTTTAAACTGATTAGAATATTGCGGAATATAGGAAATATTATAAGTAAATATGGTGTTTCTTTTTTATTAATCAAAATAATTTAAAAACGATTGATCTTGTATAGAATTAATAAATTATCTTGTAAAACGTTATAGATAAAATATAATATTTAAAAATATTAAGAGCATAAAAAATTTTTCCAGATATAATAATAGTCAGTTTTTACATTATGATGAGTTATATTATGTTATAATTAGGTATATTAGAAATTGTATTCATAGTCAAACAAGTGACGTTGATTATCCCTTAGACAACCCTACTGTGGTTAAAGACGCGCCTAATCAAGCAAGCGACCTTATTGGCTTGTAGCCGACCGCTTTGATATTTCAACTGACATTTTTGATATGAAACCTTTAACGAAGTGTCACGGAACCGTGTATTAGAACTGAATTGCCAGGCATAGTTGAAAACAAAACAATAGCTTAATCAATCGCTATTAAAAGTTTAATCTCATTTTTTATACAGCTGTGCAGTATGAAACGAAAATTAGAAGTATCGTACAAGAAATAAACGAATTACGTCGAAATACCTGACATTCATAGATGCCAGCATCGTCCACCGTTACGGCACGTATAGTGAGCTGCCAATCGGTGCTCGAATGCCTAATGACAAATCTTTTGTCGATGGAGTGCGTGCTGGTACCAACTGTTAACAACTGTCTGTCTCTTCTCCTCACCCATGTAATCTATAACAGAAGAAAAATGAGATGTCTTTATCAAATATAAAAATGTAAGACACTTGTTGATAATAATATGATATAATATGATAAGTCGGTTAAATAATAAGTTATTTGCACAACATGTTGAATTTGAAAACAGGCTATTGATGGCAACAATATACATATAGGAAACAACAACATATATTATATGAGAGAGAAGCCTCAATATACGCATCGAATATCAATTATCACGGCCATTAGGGCATCCTAATTTCAAGCTAATTTTCGTTCCCCAGCGAGCTAACCACGAAACTATGCTCAATATATTGGATAGCAGCTACATCATACGGTATTTTAATCACATAGCGATATTATCAATATCCTGTCATTTCAAAATAAAAAATACAATCTATTAGCAAAAATATATTAATTAAGATTTTTATAATCTTTTATATTTATGTGAAATACATTCTTTTAAATTCTGCTCAGAAATCGATTTTTACAAAGAGATGTATTTTATAAAGCTTTTAAATTTTTTTCCCTGTCAATATATTTTTAACAATATGTTTTTTCTTGTTTGCTAGCCATTAATGTACACGTGAATATATAAATTTGTTATTACCTTTTACGCGTGTATTTTATCACCTATCTCAATCGCAGCATGCTACATTAAAGAACCTTATAGCAAATTAACCATATGACCAGATGTTGCTTTTACGTTATGCTTTACACACACACACAGCATATAATATACTATATAACGACATATATTGCGGTTTGATCAATTTATTATTTCTTTCTATTATGTCTCTCTCTTTTTTTTTTGCCACTTTTACAAAATATATTTTTATAAATTATCATGTTATGCCAAACATACACAATTTGAATGTGAATGGTTGTTATTGTCGAGCTCCAAACGCTTTCTCGTTTGTTATAATGACATATAAATAAGTGTATATAATTAAATTTTTTTTAAATATAATAACGAGAACATTTTTGTACTTTCTTAATATAACTTTTAATGAAATTCACTTTCAATTAGGAAATTTCTATTTTAAATTTTAGCTATCGTATTTTATTTAAAAGCCATAAATATTTTACATTAATATAAATTTTAAAAGCAAGATTCAAGGAGAACGCTGCCACTTGTGAATAATATTGAAGAATAATCTAGGTACATAACGATTCGCTGCATGTATTTTTAATTGCATGTATTTTATTACTCCTTTACAGTCTGAATTAATTTCGACTAATAAAATAATAATTGATTAAGTATATTCCATATGTATATATACGTATCAAATTTTTTGTCCTCGGTTTATCTTATCAAGTAGTGTAAAACAAGAAACAATTTAATATAACGATAAATTTCTATTATTTGTGGAGTTTCTCTTATAAAGATGCCAGGAATGTAGTTCTGTGATTATAATTATATTTTGCATCAAGTATTTGAAGAGAATTATGTGAAGGATAGCCGCAAAATAATATGTCGAGTCCATCTTGACATGAAACCACAAAGGATTTATGCAGTAGTTGGGTAGAAATTTTCGAAACATGATAGTAATGCAAAAACTTGAATGTTAGGAAAACATTTAACGAGGACTCTACTTGAAATGTGCGCAATATAAACCAAGGTATGCATCTAACGGAACTATAATAGAAACATAAAAATATGCTATTATAGTAATTAATAATTAGCTATATGTATATATACATACGTATGTATGTATAGATTTATTTGTTTCTATTAAATGTACGAGAATTCTCTTTAAAATAGTGAAAATATTAAAAATGTAAGAAGATATTAAATTCGATTGATTGTGAGAAGTAGAAAACTTTTTTATAGTAAGACCTCAGTAAAAGCAGTATAATTGTCTGAAATTTTTTCACGCGGTTTCAGAGAGTTTGCTATAAAACATAATAAAGATTATCTATCTCCAATATTTCGATCTGATGAGTCAAGATCTGTCATATCGTCAAACCAATTATTTTTTACTTCCTGATCCGAAGTCGGGACAAGCTTTATCATAAATATCTTAGTACCAGCAGACAGAACGTAATTAGGCCGATTCCGCGTAATACATCCTGGGCAAAACCAATTCCCAAGGATATGACATCTCTAGTAACTGCCAAACCCGGTAATCCAGGATACTTGCTGTAATCCTGGATCCAATCCTGAAAAGGGCATATCTACGGCGCACTGACGTGTAACGACGAATCCAATATGGCGAGAGTGTGCGCGCGTACATTGTGTGTGTGTGTGTGTGTGTGTGTGTGTATGTATGTGTGTACTTGGTGGCCTTTGACTGGTGTAAGTTATCGGATGGTAGGTAGAGTTTGCCGCAATCAGCACAAAGTTACAGGAACTTGCCGGTGTCTTTGCGGGCAGTCGGGAAAGACAAGGACGCTCAAATCCCTTGGACATCCGTCGTTCAGTTTCAACTAACTCCAGATACAGATACACGTGTACGTGGATTGTTAAGACGAGTAGTGTTTCTCTGTCTTACATTGCAGAAACAGAACGTTTGTTTCTCGAGATAATTGTGTGATCAATTAAAGAAGCTCCTACGTCAATTAAAAAGTTCAAGCAAAAGGTTGAACTCACAGTAAAACTCTCAATAAAACTAGGATGTTTAAGTTAAAATATTTTATTTTTTTGTTTGCAAAGTTAAATTAAAAATCAGAGATTTTAGTGTACGTATATAAACGAGAAAATAATTGTTTGTTTCATCGATTTATTATTTCCAATTATTGCCATTGTTTTCTTTCTCCCTCATATATCTTTTAATAGCTACCATTTTAAAACTAACTGTAAATATGATTATATAAATATGATTTATAGTAATAACCAAATTATAATCAAAAATTTTTGCAATGTATATTTTTATGTGATTTCCATGGTAACGTTTTGCTTATTCGGTAATTCTGTATAATATACAAAAAGAAAAAAACTTAAAAATAACCATCAACAGATTTCTAGATAAAATGCTAATGGGATTATTTTTAGCTTAAACACATAAAGTACATTCGGTTTAGAGAGAGAAACTGTTGAAGTTTGCGGGCGGCGGGTCTATTTGGCTTTCGAGTGGAAAGGGTTAAAAGTTGGTACGTGAAGCGCGAGGCGAGTGTAACCCACGAAAGATTAAAACCAATTAAAACTTGGAACAAAATGCAAATTGGAGTAGCATATGTCTGACTCGTGTCGGGCCTACGTACTTAATTTCCTCTTACGTTGTTTCGCCCGACTCGATCATCATCAGTCTTATTAGACGCATGTTAGGTAACCGATCGTCCTGGAGAATTCCCGTAGCAAGCTATTAAACAGTTCCTCGTGGGGATTGCTGGCCCAAGTACGGGAAAGACTTTGTATAGTGGCAGCAAGTAATGGCATCAACACGCGCGGAAAGCGTACACATGCGGCACACGAGCTAAAATGCACCACCACTACCACCCCTGTTTGTAGGGAGAGCTTAATTGGGAAATATCCCGCTTACGGGGCGCACTAAGCGACTCGCACCACATACATTCTTTATCTGTCGACCGGGAATTGCCGCAATCGGTAATTTATGTCGCTACATTCTAGATACTTTACGAATTTGCAGCGGGACAGAAGCTTTAAACACAAATACGTGAGATAGAGAGTTAATGGAACGATTAATGGAGAATCGCGTGCAAAATAAAACAACGACTACAATTAGAGAATCCGTGACTATTACAAAAATTTTCGTTATGGATAAAACTTTACTTCATTAACAATTAAAAAGAAAAGAAAGAAGAAAAGTTTTGCAGCGCGATAAGAACATTTCCAGTACTAACGAAGCCGCACCAGCAGCGGCAGGAAGGAAATTAAAAGCGGCCGCCCTATCGCCGCTGCATTCCT